ATTTATCTGTTTTTCAAAATGCTTGGATTTAAATTACCTTTTACCATGTTTGTCATGTCTGTCTTACTGGCGGTGGCTCATTCTAGACTCATCACATTGTATTAAAGTGTAGATATTGCCTATTGGAACATTACATTATTTGCCTATCTGCATTCAAAACCACTACTAGTTTGGATGTAATGTATAGTATAAATGGAAAAAAGGAAAATTACTGATTCTGGAGAAAATGTGAATAATTAGGTTGGATGGAGTTTAAAATCTAAACTTTCCAAGCAAGTTCTAAATATTGTGAAAATTGTATCAGGTCATTATCACTTTGTCATCAAAAGTTTGGAATAAAACTAATGCTGTAATTTCAGTGTCAGAAAGTGCCTTTTATTTTCAGTACAGGGCATGAGGGGGATCTCTCTGCCTAATTCCTGCACTGCAGCTAGAGAACAAATGAGTTTAAATCTGTGTAACTAATTCAGACTCATTACATTTCCCCAAACTCATAAATACATGCAAAACATTCCTGCCAATTCTTCTACATATTTAAATCACCTTCCAACAGCATTGCTGAGTCCTACAGTTTTTAAGGCTAGGATAACTACTTCCACACATGAATACAGGCCTAAGCACTGTAAGCTAAAGGAATTCACAAGACTTATAATTTGTTGCAATTAAAGGTTTTCCAAAACGTGCACAAGTGAAGGATGGAAAACAGAAAAAAAATTGTACCCCATGGCTGGTGCTCCAGCCAGTGCAGCTCAGGAGCTTTTCCTAGCCTGCCATTGAGAGGAAACTTCTTTTTCTCTCTTCCTTCTTTCTTTCTTTCTTTCTTTCTTTCTTTCTTTCTTTCTTTCTTTCTTTCTTTCTTTCTTTCTTTCTTTCTTTCTTTCTTTCTTTCTTTCTTTCTTTCTTTCTTTCTTTCTTTCTTTCTTTCTTTCTTTCTTTCTTTCTTTCTTTCTTTCTCCTCTGTTCCTTCTTCTTCTTTTGTTCTTTCTTTTAATTTATTTCCTGGTAGCACCCTCAAGTTTGTGCCTCAAACCTCACATCCTTTGTCATTTCTATAAAGACAACAACAACTCTCAGCTTATTTTTCTCTTCATCTCCCACATCTGCTTGCTGTTCCAGGTTTGCTTTCCAGATTACAAACACTGGAGAAGGGAATTTTCTGTGGGATTGTGTCCTCAGGCACAGAAGTCAAACCCCCTAGTAACCACTTTTATTTCCTCTAGCAGTGCAAACCATGCCATGCCTGAGGCTAAATGTGCTTAAGCAGAGTTAGAGCTGCACAAAGGCTGTTTGCTCCCAGGTACAGCCCTGAGCAGACTTCTCCCATGTCCCCTGACACAGATGTCCTGCCTGAGCACTGAGGGAAAGGAGGCTGCTGAGGGGATGTTGGCAAGGAGGATGAGAGCTGCTTTCATCAGCTCAGCTCCAGCTCACTGGACACCTCTGCATGAGAAGTGGGTGGAGGAGCTGGTCCCACTCCTGGTGTTGGGCACCAGATGGATCCACCAGAGGATCAGATGAGGAGCCAACATCAAGAGCAGCAGAAGTTAAAACAGTAGAAAGTAATGTTCTGAATATCCAGACCATAAGCTACACAGAAATCCTAGAAATAGGGATCAAGAATCTACAAATAATGTTTCTTTTCAGGTAAACATGCTTAAACCAAAAAGACTAAATTACTAGGAGCATTTTCTTATTTCTCTTCATACCATTCCAGCTTCTTTTCTTAAAGTTTTAGGCATTCCCCTGCTGATTAAATCTGCTCACTGGACAAAATTAAAAAGGTACTGACTGTTTCAACCCCCTGATCTAATAGAAAAGCACTGACTGTCAGTTACAACATCAATGATCCTAGCTAGATAAGGAAAAAACCGGAACATTATTTGATATGGGAAAGACTGATAAATTACTTTGTATTTTATGAGTCATGGCATATTTTTTTTCTGCCACTACAGGTGAATAGATTCTTTTTTACTACTTATAGACACGTGAAAGGAAGAGATTTGCTGCTATCTGTGTTCTCTCTGATAGGACAATGATATTCTCCTCTAAGAAATAACATTCCTCTCTATGTCTAAAAGTCATGTTTGCTCAGCAATAAAATTTGAATTTCAGAGTAGAAATCTGAACCAAGCTAAATATAACTATGCTATATTCATGTAAGAAAGAAGGACAGTATTAAAATATATGATGTATTTCTAATTTCCAAACCATGTCAAAATAATTCTATATCCATTTCTTGGTGTCTGCTATTAATCCTCTTAGTGGACTTAGTGCAGGTGTGTGGGAAAATGTTAGTCAGCTTTAGATTCTTCTGTACCTGAGGAAACAATCAAAATAAAATCCCCAAATCCCTGTGAAATCTGGTGTTCAGGTGAAATCCAGTGCAGGGCTAGAATAATAGTTTGGGGGTTGGGTGGGAGGTTTGGTTTGGTTTTGTTTATGGAAAATTCATATTGAAATGGAGACTTTATTCTGGGAGGTAGAAGGCAAAGACTAATTGCTGTGATCATATTTATGTAGTTTAGAGGAAATAAAGTTTCCTTTGAATACATGGACACCAGCAACCCCTCCCTGACACACATGAATATACAAAAATTGATGTGGAAAACCTGTTCACCAGAGCGGCTAATCAGGGTGTGAGCCCATTTACTCCAAGTCCTTTGCTTCCTAAACAATTCAGTATTGTACATTCTTGTTCCTGTAACTATGAAGTCCACATAATTATATTTACCTCCTGAGGTCCTGCCTTATAAGCAAGGTAAAATTGTTCCAAACACATTTGTTCTCCTTTCAGGGTGGACGTAGCGCTTGGAGTTATCACTCGTATGTAAACTGATGTCCTCTGGCTAAAAGGCAGAATTAGGTTAAATAATTCATTTTGAAAGGGCTGAATCGGCACTGATGCGGCTAGAAATGGAAAAAGGAAAGCTGTAGAAATGTCGGCGTTTATCGGCAGGGCTGGCAGCAATTTCCTGCCCGCAGCCTGGCCCTGCCCTCGCTCCCCGCCCCGCAGCGCTGCGAGTTCCCGGACGGGACAGCGGGACAGCGGGACAGCGGGACAGCGGGACAGCGGGACAGCGGGACATCGGGGTATCGGGACAGCGGGACATCGGGGTATCGGGACAGCGGGACAGCGGGACAGCGGGACAGCGGGATATCGGGGTATCGGGACAGCGGGACAGCGGGACAGCGGGACAGCGGGACAGCGGGACAGCGGGACAGCGGGATATCGGGGTATCGGGACAGCGGGACAGCGGGACAGCGGGACACAGTGCCACAGAAACACCGGGACACAGAGGGACATCGGGCCAGCGGAGCTCGGGAGCGGTATGTTGTGCTGGCCGGGGCTCGGAGCGTCCCCCCGGCGGGGATCCCTTCCAGGAGCTCCTGCCCGCTGTCCCGGGGATGGCCCCTCGGGGATGAGCAGCAGGGCTGCGGCACGGGCAGAAGTGGCTGGAATCCGTGCCTGTAGAGGAGTAAGCCGCTGGCAGAGGCTGCGTGGCCAGAGCTGCTGCTGCTGCTGCCCGCCTGTGCCAGCACAGCTCCGGGGGAGGCAGCGGCAGCAGCAGCGGCAGCTCGGTCCTGGCCCCAGCGCTCCATCCAGGCGAGGATGTGCCCGCTGTGACCCGCCTGCCACCGCCAGGGCTGGCACTGCCCGGGGCTGGCACTGCCCGGAATCGGCACTCCCGGCTCTCAGGAGAAAAGCCACTGGAAGGGGAGATACTGCTACTGCATCAGAACCAAAAAGAAAATAACTTCTCTGAATAATATTTTGTTAAAACCGGGCAAAAATAACTCATTTCATTAGATGGACTAGATGATTTTCAAGCATAGTTTCTCCAGTGGTGTAGGTTAAAATCCAGGGGCTGAACAGTCTAATCTAATGTAACATCAAAAAAAAAAGCAAGCCACAAAAGGTGAACTGAACTAATGCATGCCTCCTGGCTATTTGCCTTCCTGTGTTTTGCATATTACAAATTCTTGGAAACCTTGGAAAGGGCCTGGCTTGTTATTTATATAGTACTAAACATGTTTGTGCTTGTGAGCTTACATTAACATGCTCTTTGCAGCATTTTAGTGAGCTGGATAAGAAATGAAAGTACTTGCCATGCTAGTATTCTGTTTTTCTGATAAGAAGCAGAAGTCCTATAGTTAATGTAATTCAGACATGTCTGAGTTACTTGCAGCATATCTAGTGACATGAGTCAGGCTAAGGGACATGTAGCTGTGTTATGTAGCTCTGAAAATCAAACAAACACAGGTATTCATATAGAAGGAACTATCTAGGGATGATATGAGGGCTGAGTTTTGTAAAACCTTTATTGCTTTCTCCTACAGAGCATATCAACCTTTTCTAAATCCTAGATTGTATAATGGCTTGTGGGTGTGTCTGTAGGGACAATGAAAGATTCTGGATGACTACAAAGCCTTTCTTTTAAATAAATCTTGTGATTCTGTCTCTACTCTACCAAAGGATTTAGATATAATTCTCAGTATTTCACTGAAGTTCATGTAGCTAGAGCATCTCACAGTATAAACTGACCTTTTGCTAGTTTTATTCTTCTATAATTTGTGATATTCCTACATTCATACAGTGACTACAGTTCAATCTATCCTATGACCAGAACCCAATTAAAGTATGTGAAACAGGACAGTGGTTTTGTTAGTAAAGAAGGGTCAGTAAAGTAGAAGAAAAAGTATGTTAAAAAAGGAATGTTTTAAGAGCAACTAAATCAGCTGCTCTGAAATAGGATGTTCTGTAGGATTTGGAGAGTTCCAGGACGTTGCAGACTTTTACTCGCATTAGCTATCACCCTGTGAGATCTGCTTTTACTCGGGGAGTGAAAAACAGGAAGGAATTGCTTTCAGTTTCACTTCCCAGCTTTAAACAGCAATCTTCACTGAAAGGAAGTAGTTAGAAGAATCATAAGAGACAAATTATATTCATGGTTTAACTTCAACTGGATTATTTTTAAAGAACAACTAGGTTTATTTTTTTTATTTTATTTTAAAGCTTTCAAACCTATTAAAAAGGAGTGCCTGTACCATTCTTGTTTACACTCCCACTTTTGGATCTCCTGACTGTTTTGGATCTGTCTCTAATAGCAGTTGTTGCTGTTGTCTTGCTTCACTCATTACCCCAGAGAAAGAAATAACTCAAGGTTTCAACTGGTATCACTAAGTGGGGTTTTTTTTTTGGGTGTTTTGTGTTTTGGGTTTTGGTTTGGTTTTTTATGTGTGTGGCTTTCTTTTGTTTTGTTTTGGGTTAGTTTTCTTGGGATTTTTTTTTCCTTTTTTTTAATGTGGGCTGTGTTGTTTGGTTGGTTTTTGGTTTCTTTTACTCCTTGGCAACCATGATTTGTTAACCTGTGAAGGCAAATATTGGATATGTGATATTTATTAGTACCACTAGAGAAATGGAATAGCTTAAAGAATGAGTAGGTAGTAACGTGGCTCCTTCAGGATTTACCTGAGCAGGTTTTGTGGTCAACATCAATACACTGAACCAGCTGCCCTTAAATCACTGCAGTAAATTGTTCATGTGAAGTACAGGATGTTTCTGAATGGCTGCACAGGGGAGCTTAACACCCCAATGCTTTTCTGAGCTGAGGTTGATTTCAGGATACTCAAAGCATGGCTGTAGGCATAGAAAACCCAGACTTATGTAGTAGTTGAGACATATCCTAGAAGAAAGCTGAGATATTTCAATTTATTTTTGCTTGTAATTGTAGTTTCACTTTCCCATACAGTTTAGAGAGGCAAACATCTTTTAGCAATAATAGAGTACTCTGAATAGCTCTTGTGTGAAATTATACATTTAAAAAAATATGGTGCAAAACTGTTCTTTTGCAGAACGACTACAAGCAGATCTACAGCAATGCAAGGTGAGTAAAATATAACCAAAATACCAACTTCTGCTAACATCAAAGACAGCACATTCAAGCAATATTTGCTTACCTTAGAATTATATGAAATATGTATGAATGTTTTAATCTGAAATTATTTACATTTTAAAATGAAATATTTTAAAAAATGTAGAGCCTACATTTTCAGATGTTGATTTCTGAAGTTAAGTGAAAATAATAAATAATATAGTAATCTTGAAATTCAAGTTATTTCTGCTTACAAACTGAAGCTGGTAAATATTTTAAAATCCATAACCCTCTCCACCTCTGGTGAGGCATTAGTATAGTCTGAACTTGAAGAAATTGAGAGAAAAGGTTTTACACAGAGGGGAATGGCTCACTGCCATGTTCTGTACTGGAGGGCAGCCTGTCAGTTCCTGGTAATGCTTTGAATTCAAGCCTCTTTCTAAATATCAATGAACAAAGACATCTTTGCTCCAGACAGTGAACTGACCCTGCTTAAGCAGGGCTTGGACTGGATGATCTCAGGAGGTTCCTTCCAAGCTGAAGGATTCTGTGATCCTGTGACATCTTCATGACATCCTGTGCAGTGCCTGTCTTTTTCTGCACTTTAAGGACCAGAACTCCATTAAGTTTTCTTGATGAATGCATTGTTATAGATACGACCTTGATGTATATTTTTTGCTGTACAGAAAACAGCTGCCTAGATTTTGTTCTATGTGCACTCTGGAAAAGGAGTCAGCGCTGGGGATCTTTCACCCAGGGTAGGAGGAAATGATCCATACTCAGAGCATATTTTCCATTCTTCCAGGACCTCAACCTGCCACAGCACCTGGAATGCCCTATGGCTCCCCTCAGCAAGTCCCTGGGGCTTACCAAGGTGGGTGGCTTGGTTACAGATCTGTGAGACTGTTAGGAAATAAGCATGGGGAATATGGGGCTGTAAAAGGGTGAGCATCTCCAGTTTACCTCTTGGCTATTAATTCTATAGAGTCTCTTTTGATCTCTGTTTTGCTGAAAAGTCATTTCTTTCCTTTGTAATTCTATGTTAGTATGTGCTCAGCAGTGCCAACAGTAGGAGGTAGGAGTTAAAAATGTCAGGTGTTCCTCAGCAGCCATTGTGGGGAATTTGCTAGGGAGTTTTGCTGGGTGCTACTGATTGCAATTAATGTGCAGCAGATTCTTACTGATAATCAGACTTTTTAATTATCATATGACTTCAGTATTTCACTTTATTTTGCTCTAGAAATACAGAAGCGAAGAGAGAATTGTTTTCTTCTTGCAGTTCTGCATGTATTCATTTCTTGTTTGCAGGTGGTTATACCTTACACTTTCCCTCACTTGCTCTCTCCTCTTCTGTCTCATTTTCTGCTCCACTCCAAAATGCAGCCCTCCTGAACAGCTTCTCTCATTCTGGCAGTGATTTCTTTCTGAAGAAGCAAATCACAATAAATATCTAACAATCAGGCTCAGAGCATAAGTCAGAGGTAAAAAGCAAAATGTTTGGTCTAAGTTACTGTGCTGTTCATAAGTTAAAGCTTGTGCATCCTGGGACAAGGCACTCTGGGGTCTGTAAGTACCCTTGGCTAGCAGGGAACAAGCACTCACTCTTGTGCCATGGAGGTTGCAGGAACATTGTTATTTTGAGTAATCTTATGTTCACACACTTGCCCACAAGAGCTGTAGGTTGTTTGTGTGCAAAGCCTGTCCTTAGATGTAAAAGTGATTTTGAATTCCCAAAGGGAGCATTCTTCTCAGGGGTGGGTGATGTGGCCACCTGTGAGTTTTACATCACCTGAGGTACTGCTCTGCTCATGGCCACAGCCTGATCCTTCACCTGCTCAGGTCCATGTGTTGTAATGTGGTGTGAAATTTGTGCTGAGCTAGGGTGGGCTGAAGGCCTACCAATCAGCTAGGGTGGGCTGAAGGCCTACCAATCATCTGGTTTGAAAACTGGAGATGAACTTTGCTAAAAGGACATTTTCTTCACAAAAGTAGAAGGTATAGTTCCAGCAAAATTTTATCTTGAAATTCCTCATTTGCTTAACTGTCAGCCTGTAAATGCCAATGCTTTCCATGTAATTTAATTCTTTCTTCTCTACTTAGAAATAACCTTCATTTATTTATTTCTGGGTTTTGATTTACTGTTTCTATGTGAATGAAGCTTCTTCTGATTACTCTTTTGAAGATGGACAGGGCAATTATTTTCCAACATTTAACTTTCATAACTGTATCTCTCCTACCATGCCAAATGTCACAGGTGCAGGGAACTATGGATTCCAGGCACAGCCCATGGGATTCCCAGGTGGATTTGTCGCTCCACCTGTCCAGAACCAGCCTACCATGGATGGGACAATCTGGATGCCTATCCCTCCTTCTATTCCCAACTGCCCTCCTGGACTGGAGTACCTCACACAGGTACCTGCACCCTTCTTCCTCCCCCAGAGATGAGGTGTTCTGCTCTGGGAAGCAGCCTGCATCCATGAAAAAGCTAAATAAAGCATCTATGTTGCAGCTGCATGGATTGCTGCCTGTGGGCTGCTAAGTGAAGCCTTTTGTAATTTCTGAATGCAGAGGTGCCTGTTGGAGATGTAGCACTTGTTCACCTTCCTGCCAAGAAGGGTGCTTTAGGATGAGGGACACAGAGCTGTCATGCAGCCTTCCCATTTCTGAAGTCACTGTTTGGGAGATGTAATGTCCTTCGGAAAGGAGTATAAAATAAATACCTATAATATGGGCAATGCTAGCACATTACAAGCACTTAATTTTCTACACAATGCTTTCTTCACAGCTCTTAATATTGTTAGTTGAGCTGCCAGTCTGACTTCACAGCACAGAGAATGCTAATAGCAAAATAAGAGTTGTTTTCACATTACTGAATATGTCTTTGTACTGTAAAATACAGTTCATCTCAGCACTGGAAAGATTAATACTGATGTATTGTTGCCAGTTTTGTAAAGTGCTAAAAATAAAAAGCAAAAAAAAGCACTGGTGAGGAGAGGCTATTTTCCCCCTGAATTTTTCCTTAGAGCTGAGCAGTAGCTGAGAATTCTGCTCTAAAATAACCCCATTTCCTGCTTTTGTCTGTATGGAGTCTCTGTGACATGATGTGAGAGCTCTGTCAGGCTCAGTCCCGAGAAGAGCAGAGGTGTGTTAGCCCTGTGTGCTCATAACCAGACCACTTTGGGTTCCAGTGCTGTGAAAAACTCTTCTGCTAAAGTGGCAGAGGATAGGGCAGGGAGGTGAGTGAGCTATTTCCATACCTTAACAGGTAGATAATCTGTCTCTACACCATGTGTTGATCCATATGTTTTTATTCTAAAATGAAGCAGCTGCAATTCTTAAAACTACAGTTTTTCATATTTGCAACTTGTTAACTGTTTATTCTGTTTAATTTTTCAACCATGAGCAGATTGACCAGATACTAATTCATCAGCAACTTGAACTTCTTGAGCGTAAGTACAAAGTATTTAAATCTAATAATCCCAACAACAGTAAAGTTTAGGCTTTCCTTGACACTATGTTTTTAAGGTGGTTACCACCTTTGTCTTGTATTACCTGTCTTTATTCCTACAGAAGTCCTGAAGAAGCAGAGGAAAGGAGAAAATAGGAGGGAAGAAAATTTTCAGCAGGTTCTATATTTAAAAGATACACAGCAATACAACTGAATAATCTTGGTTATAGATGTTATAGTTGATGTACATCTAGTTACCGATGAAGTCATACATTTCCAATGTTACTTGTTAACAATGATTTCTATTCTCTTCTCTTCCTTACTTAAAGATCTTGTTTTCTGTCCTGTCATATCCCACCTAATTCCATGGACTGGCATGTAGCTTTGATCCCTTTTACAGGCAATCCTGCTGTTTTAGCAAACTGAATGGCTTTCCTTCTGCTTCCCTCATTCTGTGCTTTAATACCCAAGTTATCATTATCAATGTCTTTCAAACAGAAGGAATAAAATGGACCATACATCCCAGATAACTCCTAATGTTGCTGCTGCATTTTTCTTTCTGTTTTTTTTTCTAAAACTTAAAAGAGTGCTTTCATTTGTTATAGAAATTATTTAAAATTTCTGTCCTGGGTTTTTGTTGTTTGAAAATCTTGACTGAGAGGGTTTTTTGTGGTTTTCTTATTCTGAACATATTTCTGGCTTCACCCCCAAATTCACAACTCTCTCTAACCCTTATCCATTGAACTCTCCCCTGAGGGCTTTCCCTGCTGGTGCTTGTGCAGGCAGCTGCTGCCCGTGGCCAGAGGAGACACTGGGGACAGATGGGAATCTCCATTTCTTTCCACATGTCCTTGTTCATGGTGGCTTCTTCCCTCTGAACTTCTCCATCAGGCTTCTCTGCTTGAGGCTCCTTCCCTATCATTTCCCTTTGCCAGCAGCTGCCTCTGACAGACTTTGAGCAAGGCTTGCCTTCCCAAAGAGCAGCCGCAGAGCTAGCGGGGAGCGTCTGACCAGACACCCCTAGGAATTTAGCAGGCTTTTTCCCATTTTTCAGTTGTGACTGACTTTGAAACAAACAACAAATACGAGCTCAAGAATGCACTGGGACAAAGGGTGTACTTCGCAGCGGAGGACACTGACTGCCTCACCAGGAATTGCTGTGGGCCGTCACGGCCCTTCACCATCCGGATTACGGACAACCTGGGCCGCGAGGTGATAACTCTGCACAGGCCTCTGCGCTGCTCCGGCTGCTGCTGCCCCTGCTGCCTGCAGGAGGTGAGTTGCTGCCTCTCCCTGCCTTCCTTCTCGTGCGACAGGCACCTCCTCTGCAGTTTCAAGGTGGGGTTGTCTTGAATCAGGAGGTGAGGTGAAATGAGTCGGGGTTTGCCAGTAAGGTGTGGGAGGAGATCTGTGGGATTTGTGCACGGGGCTCCTGGTCTGGGAAGAGGGAAGTGTGCTGCAACGCTTGGGCTCACTGCCCAGTTCTGATTGTGGTAATGAAAAATCTGATTGAACGGCATTTCCGAGAACTTGAGGCTGGTGCTGAAATCTGCGCTGGGGATGGACTTGGAATGGAAGAGTAGGGCAACAGCTTTCATAAAATAACAGCTGGAGTTTTCATTTTAGAGCTCTGAAAGCTATAGTGACACTCAACACGGGAGATCATGAGGTTTTTTAAATATTAATGTAATTCTGGAAAGATGCAACTTCTGAAACTTTAAATCTCAGCCTACCCAGAGCTCCTGCTGAGAAATTTGTAGTAGGTGCACCCTATAATGCCTTCACTGAATGCTTTTGGGATATTTTCTGCCTTTGTTTCACTGGGCTCGGGTCTTTGTATTGTAGATGAATAGTTTGTGTGCTCCGGATCCTGAGGAGTCTCTTACTGTTTCCTTGGAGGCAAAAGCTGAATAAGAGGTCTGCAGTCTGAGTGGTCCTCTGAAAACACTCACAGCAAAATGCTTTGTAAGGCCGGATCCTTGTGGAGAAATAGTTGTTTTCCATTTGTGTGCTGGTGTAGCTTTTGTATCACTAGCATATGGAAGCATGATCATTTACTTGGAGGTTTTCTCTTCCCTGTGAAGCTGGAAGTCCAGGCGCCTCCAGGAACAACAGTTGGTTATGTTGTCCAGAACTGGCATGTCTGCCTGCCAAAGTTCACCATTCAGGATGAGAAAAGAAAGGATATACTGAAAATTGCTGGCCCATGTGTTGTGTGCCGGTGCTGTGAGGACATTAATTTTGAGGTATGCAATGTAAAAATGGTTTGCCTATATCTGTTTTCAGACAGTAGTTTGATATTAGTTTGTTGCTCAATTTACTACCTACCAACTGAACTGTAGTATATATTAAGTAATTGCTACATCTTCTTTTAATGTTGGTATAATCAAATAACTTCTTTAGATACCTAAATTTCTCTAGATAAACCAGGCAAAATTCCAGAAGTGATGTGTTAAAGCCACTCATCAGTGATCACTGAGAATTCCCTGTGGCTGCACACAAATCACTTAATTAAAATCCTTAGCAGCAAAATCTTTTTGAATCTCTTATGTCAGGCTCTAAGAAAAATAGAGGTATTAGGTACTTATTAAAATTACTTCCTTCACCTGATTATTTAATCATCTAATAATCATTCAATAAACTAGTAAGTTAATTTAGACCTGAAATACAGAGTTGAATGACTGAAGAGTTACAACTATCCTTTTGAAATAATATTGATTAATACAACATTGTTTTTGTGGACATTAAGTAAAAGATACACAAGGCTACAATTTAATGCTTAAAATTATGTTGCAGATAGTTACTACAGCAAATTCATATCATTTTATTTTGGAACTAATCTTTCACATGACCCAGAAAACCAGCTCTAACTAGAAAATGTAATGTTGCCAGGGGACTAATCTTTGCTTTTGAACAGAAGAATGTAACTTGTTTAATTTTCACTTGAGCAGTTCCTGGTGCATGGCAGGAGAAGCTAATTCACTGCCTTGGCTAAAAGACACCACTTCCAGCAGTGTGTGTGCATGTGGTATCCCAGCACCATCAAGGAATTCAGCTCCCCTGTCAGATTCAGAATCAAGTTCATGGCTCTAATACTTTAGATCAGCTCTCTTATAGTCTGATTGCCTTTTGGTACTAACCCTTGCTCTCAATAACTGTAATTAAAATAACAGTCTGATGCTTTTAAATGGATCTTTTTCAAAATGGATTTGGGAGTATTATGAATGATGAATGAAGGTTTGATGATGCTTTTTAAAATTTGATGTTAAACTATAGGTGAAGTCTCTGGATGAGACTTGTGCTGTTGGGAGGATTTCTAAGCAGTGGACTGGATTTGTGCGGGAAGTGTTTACAGACACAGATAACTTTGGAATCTCATTCCCAATGGACCTGGATGTGAAAATGAAAGCTGTCATGATTGGTGCTTGCTTCCTTATCGTAAGTCTGTCATTCACTAATAGATGAACATAAACAAACTTTTTCATCTTCATGTTTAAATTGTGAAACATGGAGTCAATGTTTCACAATTTAAAGGAGTAAATTTTGAGCTCCTTCAAGTGGGTGACAGCTTGTGAACTTTTGTGTGTAAAACTGACCACAAAAGGCAAGACAAAATTATTTTAGACAGGAAGCTTATTCTAGACTACGTGAAGTACTAGTATTTAAGTATTCTTGTATTTAAGAAGAGTTTCAGATTTGGTAGGACTGAAAATAGGAAAAGGGAAGACTTCTTACAGACTCATTAGCAGAGGAAAGCAAGTTTATGGATTGTGAAACCAGTAAAATAGTAATTAGCAATAGCCAAGAGACCCATCTGAAGCCCAAGCAGCCCACTGGGCTGGTGGACAGGTGAATGCTGCAGCCACTGCCTCCCATCTCTATTTGGGAGCACCTGAAGCACTGAATGGAGCAGGATTAATGCTCTCAGAGCAGTAATTTCCAGATGGAGGGGTCACTGCAGAGATCATTGAACTTGTCAGAGCACTTTGACTGTCAGTAACGCACTGCAGCTCACTTTCCTCTTTGCAAACAGTGTGGAACACACTCCTGTTTCCATCTAACAGAACAATTCTGCATCAAAGGACCATTTCAGGACATGCACTGCTTCTGGGCTGCTGATGGGCAGGAAAGGGCCATGTGAAGCACCTTGAGTTTGGAAAGGTCTCACCAACCTCTGACAGCATGGGCATGAGCAAGGTTTTGTTTAGCTGTGTGTTCCTGTGCTAGTGAGTGCATCAAGTGCAGTGTTAGTGAGTGTCAGCAACCTGGGCCTTCAGGCACAGCAATGGGGACCCCTCCAGTAAACTAAAGATAGACATCATTGTGAGGGACTCCAGCCTGAGGTAAAATGAGAGGGAATGAGTCAGGTTGAACAAAGTCAGGGCAGAAATCCCGAGTAAAGGAAGCATAGCTTTGGCTAGTGATAAATTAAAAGTTCCCATGCTGGTCTTTCACCATCTTTCAGTCTCTGTGGAGGTCCCATTCTGAGAGACCCAGGTGGTGAGCACATGACAAATGTGCCCCCACCTTCTTCTCACCCTTTCAGTTTCGTAGAGGAAGGTGTATATACTGCAACACAGCCAGGGGATCTCAGAAATACGAACTACATTTAAGAATTATTTGTTTTGTTTGTTTGTTTTTTTATCCCCTTAGGACTTCATGTTTTTTGAACGTAGCGGTAATTAAACATCAGCAAGCAGGAGTTTGATAATGAAATCTAGATGTTCTGTATGGAATGAAGAAGAACATGGATCTCCCAAGTTTCTGATGAATTGCAGTGCTCCAGTAAGAATATGAGAAATGCACATGTTATAGTTGCATTTCTGTAAGCTTAAAAGCTTTATGGTCTTTTTTATTATTTTTTTAATCTGATGAAATAATTTTTAGTATTCAAACAAGGACTCTTTATCTGTACAGATCTGAACAGATCAATAATATGATTTAGAGACATATATAGCAACATTTTTTTTCCAAGAACTCTGTAATTTTAAAGTAACTAATTATAGTTGTTACTTATAACTACTATAATTATACTTTGATTCCTAAAAAGAGGGCTACTTCTATATTAAATATTAAAAATAACCTAAGCCTAATAAGGAGACACTGATTTTTTCCTTTGGTAGTTCTGCTGTGGTGTTCACATTCTGTTGTTTCCATCTTCCTATCAAATACATACATTCAGAGCAAAGTAATGCATTTGAACAGAAATATCTGAAACTGGTGTAAAATGTTATGACTCTCTGTGCTGGGTGTGTCTGAGCTGGAGTTCATTTCCCCAGCAGCTGTCCCAGAGCTGTGCTTTGCTCTGGGAACTGGAAGGGTGCAGATAACCCAGCAGGGTTTTGGCTGCAGCAGCGCTGTCTCTCCAGCATTCCCACCTTGTGTAGGCTGGGGGTGGGCAAGCTCCTGGGAGGGGACACAGCCATGCCAGCTGACACAAATCACCAAAGGGACACCATACATATGACATCGGCTCAGAGGGAACAGATAAGAAAAGGAAGAGGAAAGCATTGCATTCAGTTTTTAGAGTGTTTGCCTTCCCAAGCAATCACTTCCATGCAGAAGCCCTGCTTCCCAGGAAGGCACTGGGCATTGCCTGCAGATGGGAAGTACAGAATAAAATTCTTGTGTTTTTTACCCTTTGTGCACACACAAACTTTTGCTTTTGTTTGAGTAAACTGCCTTATCTTAACCTACAAGTGTTTTATTCTATCTCCTCTGTCCCTCTGGGAGGGGGAGGCATAGAGTGGCTTGGTGGGCACCTGGCACCCAGCCAAGGTCAACCCACCACATCTGGAGATGGATATATTGTCAAATATGACTCCTCCTGAGCATGACATCATTTTCTTATTTGGGTTGTTTTGAAACTTAAGGCTTGCATGTTCACCAACAGAACTGTAGAGGTGACAGGAAATTGTCTGTGCCTGCTTCTGTTCAATAATCCTTTAGTAAGTGCTTTATGTGTGAGTGTGACCTGAGGCAGTTACTTCTCAGTTTCTCCAGTCCTCCTTGCTTCTCATTTAGTCCGTGTTTTTCACAGATTGTGAGTCTGCCTGTTGTTTTGAGGGCACACAGTAAACAGAACAAGTGTTCTGTGTAAACAGAACAGTTTCACTTCAAAAGCAGATACATGAAATAGCAGGTCAATTTCTTAGCATTTATAGCTTTATTTGAATTATTTAAATGGTTTATTTAAATGTCCAAGCAATGGATAAGTTTCAATTTCTTACCCTGGGACACAAGCACATGCACAGAATGGTTCTTGGAATGCAACTGTGGGGAGAAGTCTTTGCCAGTATTTTCAGCTGCATTCTAGTTCTGCTGAAGAGTCCTTCTGTTCAGTGTTCTCAATGTATTGGTTGCTTCTGGCCAGTCAGAAATCAAAAGAAAAGAGAAATACATTGCATTGTATATGGAATTGCTGGAGGTGCATTTTTGATTTATCAGCACTATTCTTAGGGAATTAGCTTAATATTATTATTTAAAAATATGTTGTGCTTTATTTGCCATCTATTAATGAGATACCAGAAATCCAATCTTCCTAAAATATGCTAAAAGTTTCTGATTACTTGAATTAGGAGTAGAAGCTACATGTATTAGAAACCAGACCTCTCCTCTAGGGATTCATGTAGTTAAGTCCATCATTATTATTTTTCCTGCAAGGGGTGGACACAACTTCATTTCTGCCTGTAGCTCTGAAGTTCCAGTCTCAAGCATATTTAATCCCTGCACTTCAGCAGTTACTCAAATATTCCATAAACATTGTTTGGAAGGTATTTGAAAATACCTATTTACTTCCATGACAGGTGCTGCATAGAATTTAAATTTGCAGTTTGCATTAGAGTGAGGTCTGTGTCTGTTTGAGGAATGGATGGAATAATATTTTGCAAGTAGTCAAAACAGGGATACCTTTGCCTTTGGTGAAAAGGATCTTGAATCATAAATTCATCTGCTGACAATAAACTGGGGAGTGTATACAGATATAAGAGAGGTATTAGGAGGTTGGCCTAATAGGACATAACCAGGAGACTTTGTTTTCCTTCTTCCAAGTAATTAAATTTTTTCATTCAATTTTTTTTCTTATGTATTCACCCTAAGTCCTGGAATCACCATTGTTCCAATAGCCTTGCATACAAAATTACGTAGAAAAATTGTAGGGCAGTTAGGGAAGAATGGGAGAATGCAAACCATTAAGAATGATCAACTTCACATCAAGATGTGTAGGAAAACAATGTTGCAATTCTTGTATATTAAGGAGGATTTCAGTTGCAAGCAGTAACAACTGTACAAAGCTTAATCAAAGCCAAGATAGCTGTGTTTACACACAGGTTTATCAAATACAGTGAAATCCAACAGTGAAGTTGTGTAAGTTTTGCTGTTGCCCATTTAGTTTTTTGATTTTGTGCTGCTCAAGTTTAGTGATCAAATTGCTGAAGTTTATTCCTTTACCATCTATTTAGCAGAATTAGTAAGTAAGGTGAAAATTTAGATAACCTGAGAGAATAAGTGAATCCAGCTAAGGAGTAAGAAGTGGCAGCTAAGCATCTTAGATTTGCCAGAATTGTGGAAAGAACTGGAAAGAAGTTCTACAACCTCAGATCATAAAACAGCAGAGAGAGCATTGGACTTGGAGGAACTTTCCATCAGCTGGGGAGCTGGATAACTCTGACACTGGTTACACAGCTCGTAAACTTTTGTCATGTGAAACAGTTCACACTCTCTCATGAAGGTAAAAATATTGCATGGGAAGTCCTAACTGAAACTGGAGACTTGCTCATTTATGAAACTGTGTTAAATTAAGAATAAATAATTCTTTGAGCTGTCTTTTTTTCATTTTGAAAGAATCATAACTTCCATATTTAATAAATCCCCAGTCTAGAACTCTCCACTCTTTGTCCTTCAGAGTATAAGCAATACAATGATTTAATGCCCTGTCCATAAATCCAGGCTTTGTAAAGAATTAGATTTCCAGCATGCTACCTGTTATTCAATAGCATCTCAGTGAGATCAAACTGTTACATAAAACCTTTACAGAGTGAGATTTGCAGATGGATTTCTTGAGTTCTGTTAATGACCTCTCCATCTGTCCCATCCTGGTAAGTTTTTTCATCTTCAGCTGCACAGGAGATGCAGTCACTTAATAAAACCCCTGGGCACATATAGCAAACAAAACCATAATTTATATGATGTTTCTCAGTAGAAAAGCACAATTAATTCAACTTTCCAGAAAACAAATTTATAAGTGTTAAAAAAATAGTGATTCACTACTTTGGTCATAAGCAAGGTTGGGTTTTTGCTAATAACCTTGGCAATTGGAATAGAGAAGGAACATTGTTTTAAAGCATTGCATTACAGTTTGCCTTTTAGTTCATATTTGCAAAGTTCATAAAAAGGTCTCTTTGGGTCTTTTTGCTGACCCAAGGACATCCCTTACATCCCTCATGTACCTCGTGTTGGCTTTACTAACAAGAATAGCTTTGACCAAAAGCTGACAGTGGGAGCAGGACTGCACAGCAAAGGGTGAGTCAGGGAAGGAGAAAGGAGCTGTTTTCCTGAACTAAATTCAGCTCCCTCTACTGTAGGTGCAGGGGTAACTCTTGAGAAATGCAAGAGATGAAATGTTGTTATTAAGAAAATCTTAATCTTTGTGCAGGGGAATTTACTGTAAAAATGCATGGTTCGAGTGTTTCACTGCTAATGGCCATTGCATGATACAGCCATTAATAATCTGTGAGAGGAAATGGTAAAGGTAAAGGTGTGATTCAGGGAAGAAGCTGCAAAACCAGAGACACTTGAAGATAAGGGAACTCTCACAACTAGGGCAAGGAAACAGTTACGGGTTGCATCAAGGGCAAGCCACCACTCCTCTACAAGATGAAGAAACCATGTCAAACAAAAAGCATACATGTGGTTTGATCTTAACATTAGTGAGGCAGGAGATAAAAAAGGTATAAGAACCTCAGAGAAGATAGCAAGAGGTCAGAGGGAGAGTCTCTCTCTAACAAAGGAAAAGTACAACTCTCCCAGGGTTGAGGAAAGAGCCCAGCTGGTGGAATTCTGTTGGATCAGGGCTCTACATGTACTTTGATGCTATATATGTTTACACATGCCATGGTTATGTGCTGGGGGTTTTCCTGTCACCATTCACAGGGAGACTTCCATACGTTACTGATTTTGTTCTGGAGAGAACTTATCTTCTGGTTTATAGCTATATTTGACCTACCACTTAGGTTTAGTTTATTTACACTTTTTACTTGGTAACATTACAGTTATTAAAGATAGCAGTGAGGAGAAAATATCCATGAGAACACTGCAGCATAACAAAGAGGAAGAAGAGATAAAAACAGGGATATACGACTGTGCCTCTTATTTTTCGATGGGTGGCAGTGTTAGCACAGAAATTATCTTTCCACTGCTTAAACCTAGCTCTGAGATCCACAGGAAATTATCTTTCCACTGCTTAAACCTAGCTCTGAGATCCACAGGCAGTTTCCTTAGGTGTCATCTGATTTTCTCAGTGGAGGAATTTCACATTACACTATCTCCAAAGTATGTATTGCCTACATGAGTGTGGAAAGCTAGATGTGTCTTTCCCAGCAAAGCAGCAAAGTCCTAAGCTTCAAATGCAATTACACACCACTAGGAAAATTAAAAAATGTGCGTATGCATTTTAAACCATGATTGATTTAAAATACTTAGACAAAATACTGCGTAATATCCTTAAAGTTGCATTAGGCTTGGTAAACGATATAATTTGGAATTAGACTGTGATTTCTGACAGAATTTGCTACAGAAAGCAAAAAAGTTATTAATATATCACAGCAGGGTACCTCAAAGCAAACAGGCTGATTTCATTGCTGGTTTCATGTTACTGATTTTTGTTTCCCAAAACATGAGATGGCTTCAGTGTGAATGGCTGTGACATGGACTGCCCTCCTGACTTTGGCTTTGTTTCTCTTTTCTCTCTTTTTTTTTTTTTTTTTTTTTTTTTTTTGTTTGTTAAATTTATACTTGCTGCCTATGCCTCAGCTGGTTTAACCTTTAGCTGACCTAGTTATTGAACCAGGGCAGCTGGTAGCATCTGAGGCAGCCGATCCTTCTCCCTTGTTGTTTGCCTTTTCCAAGGAGCAAACAGACACTGGTGGGAGGCTGAGCTGCAAGCACAGAGCTCTGTGCACCAGGGCCTTGCAGCTCCTGCTGTCCCTGCCCCTGATGAACCACCACTGCTAGTCCCTGAGGGCAAGTGCATGCCAAAAATAAAAGCGGGAGTGGGCTAGTGCAGTGCAGGTACCACTGGTCAGGAGCCTCCAGTTCCTGCTCTGCAGAGGGAGTGACATGAGGTGTTCAGCTGCAGGAAAGTTCCCATGCAGCTCTGCATCATCGCTTCAAGGAGCATGAACAAAGGTGTGTTTCAATGGTAAGTGTGCAAACAGTGCAGTGCTGCCATGGCATGCCCTGTGGAGCTGGGAGCAGTGCTGACACCGTGGTGATTCACTGAGCTGGCAGGAGCCCCAGCAGTGAGCTCTGGGCACCAAATGCTGCGTGGAAACTCCCAGGCTAACAGGTTTGTGCTGAAGGCTATAATTGAAGCTATTCATAAGAAGTATAAACAAAAGGTAACTTGCTAATTTAAATGACCCAGTCATATGTTTTGACCCTGAAGACACTGAAGACTTTGGGGCTGCCTTGACT